AATAAATTACAATTTTACCATTCTATTTAGAAATGATAAATAACAAATAAGTGTTTATTTAAGGGTATCATAATTTGAAAGTGTAAATGGTCATATATATATATATATTATATATATATATATATAATATATATATATATATATATATAATATATATATATATATATATATATATCAAAGGATTTATTGCTTAAATAATATAACTAAGGAAGTATCCCCGCGGGGGTTGGATTTGCATTCTATTGTTTGCGAAATGAACTTAAGATAGATATTTCATTTGATTATAGAGTGACATGGAAGTAACTACATTACACATGTTTTTTATTCATCAGATGTATTTTTCATCACGCATTTATACTTCCCAATCCTTTTGTGGATTGATCCAAGCATGAAAGCTATAGTCTTCCATGGAGAGGTTGTCAGCTCTGGCGTCTTCAAGGATGGTCATCAGGATTTTGCAGTCTGGATGTTCTTGTTGTATATAGATGATGTTGTAAGAGTTGTCATCCATGGTGAAACCTTATGCAAGTTTTGGTTTGAGATGCTTGTATGAGATCGTGTACTTCTCGAAGGTAGGCAATGAGTGACAGTAAACCGTTTTCAACAGTTTGATTCTTCAATTTTTTAGTGTTTTTGATGGGATTAGTATTTTCCTCTGCGTATGGGTTTTGGAGGTTGGGGTTCTTATATATCCTTGTAAAATGTGAGATGGTCAAAAAGTGTCTAGAAAACTTGAAAATAAAAAGTTATTGTATTGTTCTATATTCAAAAAATTGTTGTATTATATTAAAAAAGTTGTTGTATTATGATTACAAATAGAGCACGGGTGTGTATGCAACCATTACATAACCTTTGAATGGTGTTTGTATGTGTTGGGGTAGAAACAATAACAAACGACTCAAAAAAGAAAAAAAAATGAGATTTATGAAAAGGTATGCTTGTTTAATAGGTTTTTGCATTACATTCGACTCATAAAATAAAAAAATGAGATTTATGAAAAGGTATGCTTGTTTCATAGGTTTTTGCATTACATTCGAGGTCAGTACAAAAGGTTTCGAAAATAGTTGGTTAGTACAACGAACAGAGGACACACGCATCATTAAATTGAAATTACATGGATATGGTGGTAGATGTGATACGTTTAGTGTTTTCCGTAATAGTGTGGATCATTTCTTCATAGGTTATGATCGTTAAAAATGTCATTTTTTGTTGTGAAAATGGTAAATTTTAAGAAAATAAAATAGATTTTGTCAAAATGGTAATTGTTTGTAGTTAGATTAGACCAAAAAAAAGGTCCAGTTGGTACCGTTTAGGTATATTTTATTAAAAATATTCAATAAAGTTACCACCACGAGTCCAATTCGTTATATCTATTATAAAAGGGAAACACAAAGGTAAAGAAAGTACTTGAATATTCTATCTGTTAAAAGATGATTATCATCTTTGAATGAACAAATGAAAACAATTTCATATTATAGTTCCCTTCTTCTCATGTGCACTGACATCATCACATAGAAACATATGTATGTATGTATGTATGAAAAGGAGTTACTTAAACCATAGTACTCTTCAAAATTAATAACTTTTGAGAGTTGGAATATAATGAGATGGTTGAATGCTTTTGTAAGATTTTTAGATAATTGGGAAATGGTTTCTTTAAACGGTAAAAAATAGTTGGAATAGTTTTGATTTTGCATAAAATAGTTAAAGTGGCTAAATCGATATAATGGTGAAAGTAAATTGTATTTTTTTTTTTTTTTTTTGTATTTTGCCCAAATTTCAGTTAAAGGAAGGCTCTCCAGTCTCCAGTACTTACTTACTTGGGAGGGTTTTGTTTTGAATGTCAGGTAGGCAGACATTCAACAACATAATCATGACTTGGCTCCACAAAGTATGGAATCTGTTCATACAAATGTTTAACAACCGATTGTTACTTTGTAAAGAAACGAAAAGCATGATAATTTCATTTGATTTATTTAAAAAGAAACTGAGAAAAAAAGTCATACAGAATATCGCTCTTGACCATTGGCTAACACCCGATGTAACGTTGACCTATAAAAATATTTCATTTAAGCCAAACGTTAAAGAAATCAAGGCTCAAGTGATCCACTTTTTGAACCATTTTGATAAGCTTTTTGGTGTTGAGAAAATGTCGCATGAACAAAGATTTGCAAGAATGATTGGCTACTCACATTCTTGTATTCCACAGTGTATTTTTGGGCATTTTCACAAGTAGGTGGCTTAGCTTCCACTGAAAAGTCAAAGTATCATGGTTCAAAAAGTCAATAACTGAAAAAAAAATCATTAGGAGCAATACTACCATATTAGATAGCTAATCAGATTGAATAATTTGCATTATTTAGTCAACATGCAGGCTGTTTCAGTCAAGCTTTTGTCAAAAGGTCAAAATAATCTCCAAACTACACAATCATATACTCCAATGTCCACTTGTATGTAATAATCTAAATTCCACCTAAACCTGTCCATTTACATATCGATAATTGTAATATTCTGTCATGGTCTAGCTGATAATGAAATTGATTTATACTATACAATTGATTATACATAAAGAAAATTTACCTAAGTACTACGTAGATGGAACATGGGTGATCCTTTGTTGTTGTGTTTTGTACTTTTGTATGACATGCGCAATTCTATAGTGAATGAATCATCTGTTTAAGAGGATCATTGGATGGATTTCCTGGTTGATCTAACTAAAACAAATTATGAACAAGTACAAAGGTTTAGTCCCTCAAAATTTTCATATTTTTTTTCTCAAAATTGTTTCATGCATTATGCATGCATCATAGCTTGTTATAGTGTTGCAGCTAAGCCTTCTCAACATATTATATGGAAGCTATTGGAATCTTTTAGTAATTAGGGTCTAGGCTCAAGCCCTTTAGGGTTTAGCTATTAGGTTTTATATATTCTTTATATATTCTTATGTAATTGTCTTTTGAGAATCAATCAATCATTTATCTAACATGGTATCAGAGCTCTAGGTTAAAACCATGTTGTTGACCATAACCCACAGCTACCACTTTCGACCTCCGACGACCTTCTCTAATAGTCGTCGGAGGTGCCTTCATTATGTTTCATATTTTTTTCCTTTTCTTCTATTTTCCGCCTAAATAATAAAAGAGCCACCGACACCAAACTAGAGGTCTTTCACCGGTTTCTTCCACTGCCTTGTCTACTTATACCTCCTCCTCAGATGACCCGTGCCTCTGAGCCTTCTGCCTCCTCCTCGACTGGCCACTTCTTGAGATCTCTTTTCTGATTCAGCCCCTTCTGATGTTGTTGTTGCCTCCCTCTGTTGGCACCTTCTTCGTCGGGCAGCCTCTGATCTGTAGTCGTTTCTTTCTCTATCAACATTGCAGTTGTCGATCTCGCCGAAATTTGCTCCCTTTGTCGCAGCTTGAGCCCTCTTTCTTTCTTGCTGCCTTTCTCTGGACTCCTTTGTTGTTGGTTGCATGATCATCGCCGCTGCCGCCAATTTTCTCATTTTCTACAACGGAATTACCTATTGCCGCCGCTTCTTCTCTCTTCTTCTCCGACGAGCAGTCGATGTTAGCCGCCATTGTTAGAGCTCTACCACCACCGATGCCGCTATCTTCATCTAGTTTTTATTTTTCTTCTTTTGTTTATTTTTGCCAGTTTAATCGTCTCCACCCGAAGTTCAATCGTCTCCACCCGATCAAACTGTGGGGGGAGGGGGGATGTTAGTGATTAGGGTTTAGGCCCAATCCCTTTAGGGTTTAACCATTAGGCTTTAGGTATTCTTTATATATTCTTATGTAATTGTCTTTTGAGAATCAATAATCATTTAACAGAATCCTTATACAAACATTCCTTTTACCCTGATTTTATGAACTAAACAACTGAATAATCTCCAAACTACACAATCATGTAGTAAATAAAATTGGGTATTTTTTAACTGTTCTTGAGGGAAGGCTAAGAATATGATTAGTTGATTTAGTAAATCAAATACAACGACAACATATGGAGCCGTCTTCTTAATAAAACACCAAAACAAAATTATATCTAAAAAATGCCATTTACATCGACAGACGGAGTCATATTCTTAGAATTATTAGGGAAAGAGAGAGTGATACATATTCACTAAGGAGTTTTATCAAACAGGTAGCATGCGATATATAGCCTCCCATCTCAAAACATCCCTCCAAATATTACAGTTTTCTTCTATATCCCATTTCTTTCATTAATTGATAACACCATATACAAAATCAAAAATAAAAACCCTATACCTGTATTAGAGTTAGAACATGAGAAGATGGAATTCCAAATAAAGAAAAAAAAAATATAGTCAAAATCTTAGAACATGAGAAGATGGAATTCCAAATAAAGAAAAAAAAATATAGTCAAAATCTTACCCAAATAGAAGTGTAGCTTAATTTTAAATAAAAAATGAAACCTTCGTTACATCCTAGCTTCCTGTGTGAAAACGAACATTTGTCTTCTTTGTTTGCTATTAATGGAGTCCTAATCAAAAACCGAATCGGAGTGGACGTCGGTGAAGCATATAGGTAGTAATCTAATTGAGAGAGAGTCAGTACAGGGAGATGGAGGAACAACGTTCTTGATAAGGAAGACATACGTGAAGCAATAACGTAGAAACGCAAAGGGCATGGACGGAGGAAAAGACGTGACGATATAGAAGGTGAATTTACAGAAGAATCAAGCAGGAACACCGATTAGTATTTGAGGCGGTGGAACGGTGGAATGAATAAAGTAACTACGATGGAGTAATTAGAGAAGAAGCAATAACTGGATTGGTAGGTGAGCTGTGGAGAAATATGTATCAAACTTGTAGAAATCAACCTGTATGCCACAATTAATAAAAAAAAAAACTAAAAAAATGGTTATTGAAGTAGTGTTCACAAAGGAATTCACTTTTAACATATATATATATATATATATAAAAGCATTATTTAATTTTTAAAGCAATAGTTTTACATAAATACAAATGATATAATAAATAAAGTAATTAATTTAATATATATTCTAGGAGATTTGAAACAAAAAGCAAAGAAACACTTAAAGAGTATTTATTCTGATATTTAATATAATAAGAAAAATTGGATTTTAAATTTAAGAAAAATAAAAAATACAATAAGATGACAAGTGGAAAAAAAATCGTTTAAAAAATCCTAAAAAATGACATGTGTTAAATTCAATAACTACATGAAATTTAACCAAAAAAAATTCATTTACTAGGTTAGACATATATTTTGTGATTTGTGTATCCTATTTTGTTCCACTAATTCTTCTTCTTTCACTTTTGTTTTAAAGTTCTTTTTCATTGTTAAATATAATTTCTATTATGTTTCATATATCAAGTGCAAACTATCTAAAGCATAAAACAAAAAGCTGAAAAAAATACATAAAAAACAAAGACATTAAATTTAAAAAAATAAACATAAAAGTCCAACAGAGAAGTAGTTAGATATCAATTCAAAACATGTGTTTTGTTGAATAATGAGAAAATGATGAAATTGGAAAACAAATGCTTTAGAATTTAGTAATGGCAAATTGATGACATCATCAATGTAAATCAACAAACAAAGAATTGGAGTATGTGGATCATGGAAATATACGAAGCCCCACTTTCCGATGTATATGGCGTAGTAACTAGAAAGGTGAATTTTCAACATAGAAGTTATAAGCAAAGGTGCAGAAGCCGATAATTTTGTTTGGTAAATTTGGAATTTAGGATAAAGAGTAATGGTGTAAAAAGGCATTTCTTGATGGATGCATTCATCACTTTCATACTTAACCAGAAAGCCAATTTTGATACATTAAATAGAAAAAAAAATACATATATATATATATATATATATAATATATATATATATATATATATATATATATATATATATAGATATATATATAGGGTTAGGTTCATTGAGACGATTTAATTTTGTGAGACCGTGAGACCACTTTTTTTAGTGAAATATTCTAATATTCTAGTGTTCATAAAAATTAATTATGTGTAATACTCTAAAACAATAATTTTAATATATTTTACATTGAAATATTCTAAAACATATAATGTTAGAATATATTGCATATTTTATTTTTACGAACAATAGAATATTAGAATATTTCAATAAAAAAATTTGGTCTCACGGTCTCACAAAATTATGTCTGTTTCAAATGAACTCTTACACACACACACACACACACACACACACACACACACACACACACATATATATATATATATATATATATATATATATATTAAGAATCTCAATCTTAGTTACTTTAGAAAAATGTGAATTTGTATGCTAACCAATGAAATTGCACATTATATTTTATAAGTCGTTAGTGGAGCGTGTGTGGTTAACCAACACACTAATAGGGACTAATAAAGAATTTTAATGGGTATTCCATAAAGTATCATTGTTGATGGAGCGTGTGTGGTTTACCAACACATCAATTGAGATGATAAATGACAATGAGGTTACCAAACACATTTGCATGGTTATTCACATCTTGTTTGTGATCCTCGGTATCCCAGTCACAAATAGAAGAGCATAATCTGAGATTAAACATGTCATTGAATAGTTTCAATGAATCTCAAAAGATCTAGGAATTTCATCAAAACTTCATTTGCTTTTAAAATTTCGTTTTCTATTGGTGGAATTGATAAATTGTCATTTACCTACATTTATAAAATTTACAATTAGATTACGACATCTCTTTTCTAAGTTGTGAATTATATAGTTGGATCATGGCCTTAATATTTCATTTTTTGGGTTGCTATATTAAAGATTATTCTTACCTAACTAAAATTGCCTTCCTTTTACATATGTATATTCCAACTGATGCTTCTGCTTCCTCCTCCTCCAACCACCACAACTTCTCCTTGCTCTTTATCTGCTCCAAAGTCATATCGGATAGTTCCACTTACAATGATTGGATGTGAAACATTAAAATGGCCCTTCGATTTGAAAACAAAGAGTATGTTCTCGAAAAGGAACTCATTGAAGTCAAAGAGGGAAAAGCTACTCCTGAAGAATACGCCTCTTATCAAAAACACTAAGACGATGCAACAAAAATTGCTTGCATTATGGTCGCCACAATGACCCCTAAGTTGCAAAGATTCTATGAGGATTACTAGCCGTATGAGATGAACAAGTACCTTATGGAAAAGTACCATAAGCGAGCTCGTCAAGAAAAGTACGAGGTGGTAAAGTTCCTCATGGCATGCAAAATGAAAGAGGGAGAATTTATATGTAGCCACATGTAGAGAATGCAACGCTACGTGGAGCGCTTTGTTAGGCATAATGTGCACTTTGATGAGGAGTTGGCTATTGACATAGTCTTGAACTCTTTACCAAGTTGTTATGATCAGTTCATTCTGACCTATCATCTGAACAACAATGAGACCACCTTGGCTCAATTGCACAACCTCCTGCAAACAGTTGAAGCGGGAATGAAGGGTAAAAGTATAGCCTCCATTCTTGCTAGTGCTCCAGTCCTAGCCATTAGACAAGGAAAGGGTAAAAAGAGGAAAGGTCCTCCCAAGCAAATCTGGAAGGGAAAGTCTCACGCAGGGTCATCCAGTAGTGGCCCTAAAGGAAAGTCCATTTCTGATCATCTACCATCTTCTGATCCCAAAGAGGTTATTTGTTTTTACCTAATGACAAGGAGAATAGGAAAAGAAGCTACCTGAAGTATCTGCAAGATATCAAAGATGGAAAAGTGAAGCCAACTTCTGCAGGTATATACACTATTTCATCTAATAACTCATAATCTTCTCGTTCTTGGGTCCTTGATACAGGATGTGGATTTCACATTTGTTTTGATTTGCAGGGGCTAAGAAGAAGTGAGGAGGTGGAGCACAGTATAATGAACTTGATCATGGGGAATAGGCGATCTTCACCTATCACCAAGATTGGAGTTTATAGTCTAGTGCTTAGTAATGGTGTTAGTTTAAATTTAATAAATTGTTGCTACTCATCAGAAATGACGCGAAACATTATTTCTTTTCATGCATTGTTCAGACAAGGTTTTATATATTCTTTTAATGATTTTAATGGTTCAATTTATGCTTATAAAAATGGTATTTTTTATTTTGAAGCTTTACCTTGTGATGGTGTGTATGAAACCGTGATGTTTGTAGAAAATTTAGGCAATCGTGTATTTCAAATTGATTCGTCTAATGGTACAGACAAAGCATGCTTGTGGCTTTGTCGTCTTGGACACATTAACAAGAAACACATCGCCCAACTCCAAATTGATGGAGTGTTGGAATCATTTGACCTAAGGTCGGATGATGCATGCGAGTCTTGTCTTTTGGGAAAGATGAAAAAATCACCTTTCACTGTATCTTGTGAAAGAGGTGAAGTTTTGTTGGACCTCATACACACATATGTGTGTGGACCCTTCAGATCCACCACAAGGGATGTAAATCGATTTATGTAACATTTACAGATGATTATAGTAGATATGGCTATATTTACTTGATCAAACATAATCAGAAACCTTTGAAAAGTTCAAAGAGTTTAAACATGAAGTCGAGAATCAATTGGGCAGGAAGATAAAGATATTCCGATCAGATAGAGGCAGGGAGTATCTTAGTATCGAGTTCCACAACTACCTCAAGGAATGTGGAATAGTTTCACAATTGACTCCTACTAGGACACCACAACTTAATGGTGTGGCTGATAGGCTCAATCAAACCTTGGTGGACATGGTTCGTTCCATGATGAGTCGAGCTTCTCTTCCAATTTCATTCTGGGGGTATGCCTTAGAGACTTCCGCCCGTATTCTTAATTTTGTCCCAACTAATAAGGTTGCCAAAACACCTCACGAGATGTGGACAGGGAAGGTTCCCTCGTTAACACATGTCAAGGTTTGGGGTTGTGAAACTTTCGTTAAATGAGAGACTCACGACAAGCTTGAACCTCGTAGTGAGAGATGTATTTTCATCGGCTACCCACAGAAGTCCTTTTGATATTTGTTCTACAGACCTAGTTAGAACATAGTCTTTGTAGCACGAAGAGGAGTCTTTCGTGAGAGAGAGCTCATATGCAAAGAGGACAGTGGGAGTACCATTGACTTTGAAGAGACTCAAGAATCAAATGATGAAGGAACCTCTGAAGACGCTAGGGTTCAACTAGAGGAAGAGATTCCAGTTGAACCAGTTGACAATTCATTACCTCTTAGGTGTTCGAGTAGAGTTAGCATGCCACCTGAGTTCTATGTTTCTATATAACTATAGATGGTGATACGTTTATCAGTGATAGTACACTGGTAAATTTGGATGAACCGGATAACTACAAAGAAGCAATGGCAGGCCCTGAGGCAGCCAAATGGAAAGAGGCAATGGATATCGAGATCAAATCCATGTATGACAACCAAGTTTGGAATTTGCTTGATCAACAACCTGGTCGGAATACAGTTGGTTGCAAATGGACCTTCAAGAAGAAGACCGACATGGATGGTAATGTGAACACTTTCAAAGCACGACTGGTTGTGAAGGGTTTTACTCAAACCCCAGGGGTTGACTATGATGAGACTTTCTCACCAGTGGCTAAGATAAAATCAATCAAAATCATGTTAGCCATAGTTACCTTTCATTACTATGAAATTTGGCAGATGGATGTCAAAACCGCTTTCCTTAATGGGAAGTTGGCTGAGGATGTTTACATGAGTCAACCAAAGGGTTTTATTGATGCAAAGTTTCCCAATAGAGTGTTCAAGCTTGAGAAATCCATCTATGGGTTGAAACAAGCTTCTCGCAGATGGAATATTTGTTTCGACGAGAATGTCAAAGAGTTTGGTTTCTCTAGAAGTGAATATGAGTTATGTGTAAAT